AACAACAACCAATTTTTGCAAAGTCAAAAAGGTTTAAAATGTGCAATTTATTTTAAAAGTAAACTAACTAATTTTTTTATTTTTAAATAGAACAAAATGACAAAAAAATCCAATACATGCTAAAACAAAAATGGTGACAAAATTTATAAGTGGAGTTTATTTGGAGTTAAGTTACTTAAATTAAGTGCAAATAATCCCTATTTCATCAAGTTTTAGCAGTTTTTTTACTCTTTTCAAATATTTTTTTAATATATGCAATTNTTTTACTCTTTTCAAATAATTTTTTAAATATATGCAATTGTGCCCATCATCACAACCAGCATGGTTTTTTTCCTGATTCTAGTTGTTCAAAGTAATAGTAACTTTAATTCATCAGACTAAAAAATCGTTAATCCAAAAACATTTTTCATAAACGCACTACTTTTGGGAAAGTTAAAAAGCGTTTTAACTCTGAATTGCCTTCATTTTTTACGCCATATAGCAGAGTTAGACTTCTGTGTTGTTGATAAAACGCAAGTTTTAATCAATTTTAAAACCTATATTTTCTAAGAACGGTTTGGCAGACAAGCATTTAGAAATTTTTTCAGTAATCAACTCAAAAATTCTTTTTTAACGGTGTGTGATTTGCCATAATCGGATTTTTTGAAAAACCGGGGTCACTACTGCGATCACTTTTTAAACTCAGTAACGTAACATGTAATATAAAATGAATGCAAATTAATGTTTTAAACTAAATAAAATATTTTAGCAATACCGCTAAAAATTAATTTAATTTAGTTCTTTAGAATGCAATTGCACGAAAATTGCAAACTTGTTTTACAATATTTACTGATAAATACATTTGAACATCTGTTTGATATCTTTTTCAATACAAATATAGTTCTCATCAAAACGTTATCTTTTACCAACGAGGCCCCCAAACCAGGATTAAAACTGCAAATAATGACTAATCATGTGAAGCAAATTATCGTTGATTCTATTTTTAAAGCAACAGTTTTTTTAATTTTTTAACTTTATAGTTAAAATCTTGTAAACGCGTCAACAACAAAACAATTTAATGATTTTAATTTAACATAAAAAATTGAAAACAAAAATGCTTACTAAAACTATTTTTACCATTTGTGTTTTTACATTTGTTTTAAAATTTTATTTGGCATTTGTTTTTGAAACATCTTTAAACCACTTTTTAAATCAACTTGAACATAATGAATGTCGAGATGCTTCTGTTAAAAAAATGAATGATGGAAAACTATGTAATGAATTTTTTAAAATTTACAATTCAGAACGTAACAGACCTATCAATAAAACTGAATGTACTGCATTTTGGAACTGGGCAAATTGTACAAAAAAAGTGTTATTTAACACAAGCGAGTGTAAAAAATTTGAACCACAACTTAAAAAAGTCTTTTTAAATTTTACTGAAGAATGTAAAACTCAAATTTGTGATTTGTCAAAATCTGAACCTGAACTTACAACTACATCTATATTTACACCTACACCTACACCTACACCTACACCTACACCTAAACCTAATAACTCTTTGAACATTGTCTTAAATTGGGGAGTAATTGTAGTAATGTTTGCTTTGTTTTTATGTAAAAACATTTTTGCAATGTTTTAAATTATGTTTGTTTATTCAACTATTTTTTAATGTTTTTGTATTTGTGATTTAGTGTTCTAGACAACTTTTAAAATACTTTTGACATTATCTACAACTTATCAAGTTTGTTTTTGCATAAATGTAATTTGATTTTGTAACTTGTTTTATTAAATTTTACAATGAACTAAATAACAACAGTTTTGATTAAAAAATTAAGTGTTTTTCTACATTAAGACACAATATTTAGCAATGTTGTTCAAAAATTTAAATGCAAAAACAAAATAGAAACCAAACATATGGTTATCAACAAAAGCAACTGGTTGGTTAAACATCTTTTAAAAATAAAAAACGACAAAAAATAAAATTGAGTTTTTGTTAAAAAACTGTTATTTAAAATTTTTGTACAAAAAATGAACTTAAAAGTTTATCTCAAACTTATTAAATTTTAAATTTTATTTTAATTTATACATTAGTTGTTTAAAAAAACATTTTTTTACATTTTACAAAATTGATTACTGTTTTGCACTGACATTTTATTTTTTAATCATTTTAATAAATGACCATTTGTACAAACTAAAAAATATTTTAATTTGTCCCACA